TAATAATAATAATAATAATAATAATAATAATAATAATATCTTTATTGTCATTGCCTCCTTCGGGGACAACGAAATTACTTGACTGCTCCATAAAAACACTAATTAATCAATACAGTATAATACAGCAAGGGAGATTAGATGACTTTCAAAGTCCGGGCTTCCCATTCAGGGCCGAGATCGCTCTGGAGAAGAAGCTGTTCTTAAGACGGCTCGTTCTTGTCTTCATCGTCCTGTATCTCCGTCCCGACGGCAAGAGCTCGAAGAGACAGTGACCAGGATGCGATGGATCTTTTACTATGTCCAGTGCCTTCCTATGGCACCTTGTGGCATAAATCTGCTCTAAGGTGGAGAGTGGGCAGCCAACAATGCTCTCTGCTGCCTTAACAACCCTGCACAACCCCATCCTGTCCTGGGTAGTACAGCTTCCGTACCACACACATAAGCCATAAGTGAGCACGCTCTCAATGGCACAGTGATAGAAGGCAAGCAGCAGTTTCTGCGGAAGATGGTTTTTCCTTAGTATTCTCAAAAAGTACAGTCTCTGCTGCGCCTTCTTCACAAGCCCCCTTGTGTTGACACTCCAGGACAGATCCTCTTGTAATTCAATGCCCAAAAATCTGAACGTTGTTACCCTCTCCACACAGACCCCATCAATCAAAAGTGGCTGGACGTTGCTCTTCTGTCTCCTGAAGTCCACCACAAGCTCCTTTGTCTTCCTTGTATTTATGAGCAAGTTGTTAGCTCTGCACCACTCTGTCAGCCGCTCCACCTCATCTCTATAATCCGTTTCACCCTCCCTTTCAGAGATGAGCCCAATCACGGTTGTGTCATCTGCAAATTTGACAACCCTATTACTAGGGTGAGTAGCGACACAATCGTACGTGTAGAGAATATAAAGGAGCGGACTGAGTACGCATCCCTGTGGTGTTCCTATGTTAGTCTTGAGCATATTAGAGGTATAGGGACCCAACCGAACCCTCTGGGGGCGGTCTGACAAAAAGTCCAATATCCACCCACAAAGTGATAACGGAAGCCCCAGATCTTCCAGTTTAGACATCAGACGTTGTGGTAGAATGGTATTAAATGCCGAGCTGAAATCTAAAAAAAGCAGTCTGGCATAACCCCCCCGCTGCTCCAAATGTGCAAGGACGGCATGGAGGGCAATCGCCACAGCATCCTCTGTCGATCTTTTCGTTTTATAAGCAAATTGGAATGTGTCCAGTCCCTCTGGTAGGCAGGCAATGACATAATTTCGTACCAGCTTTTCAAAGCACTTCATGATTATAGGTGTGAGTGCTACTGGACGAAAATCATTCAGATCTTCCGGGTTAGATTTTTTTGCTATTGGAACGATAATAGAGGACTTTAGGCAGGATGGAACAATAGCCTGGGCCAGGGATCGATTTAAAATCCCAGTGAAAACTCCTGCTAGTTGATCTGCACAGTCTCTCAATACCCTTCCAGCTACCCCATCTGGCCCTGTGACCTTCCTTGGGTTGATACCCTTCAACACCTTCCTCATCTCTTCTTTTTCCACAGAGACTACTGCATTCCTTTGTACTGATGATGGTAATGGTGGTGATGATGGCAAAGCCTTCACAGGGAGTGGTGGTGGTGTTGGTAAAGCCTCAGCAGGTGTTGCTGCAGATGTTACTTCAAAACGGGCAAAAAGGCATTCAAATCCTCTGCGAGGGATGCCCCTCCTCGTCTGCCAGGGAGTCCTTAGATTTATACCCTGTTAATTCTTGTACACCTTGCCACACCTGCCTGGTGTTGTTACTTTGTAGATGATTCTCCAGCCGCTGTCTATACGCCTCCTTTGCTACACGGATACCTCTCTTTAGATCGGCTCTAGCTAAGCTGTACAGCAACTTATTTCCACTTCTGAAAGCAGTATTTCTTGCCTTTAGCAACCCCTGGACCTCCCTTGTCATCCAGGGCTTCCTGTTTGGGTAGATCTTTATCCGGCACCTCCGTGTTACATTGTCAGTGCAGAACCTATTATAGTCCAACACTTGCTCAGTATGAGTCTCTACATCCTGTTGGGCAAATACCTCCCAATCGGTGTCATGAAAACAGTCTTGTAGTTGTTGGGATGCTTCAGCTGGCCATATTGTAATATCCCTCTTTATAGCTGGAATCCGTTTCCTCAATGGAATATATTCAGGAGTCAGGAGCAGGGACACATGATCAGATTGGCCTAGATGTGCCAATGGTTCGGCCTTATAGGCCTGTTTGACATTTGTATACAGCCTGTCCAGAGTCTTTTCTCCCCTGGTATCAAGTATGATATGCTACAATATTATTAGTTTAACATTTTGTATACAATAAGAACTTATACCCATGTTATTTAGGATCAAAAAGGTGTCTCAAAATAAGAGACCTTGCATACCTTTGTTCTCTCCAGTTTTGTATGCTGCCCTTATTATAACATGATGCAGTTGCAAAATGCATAGTTTATGTCTCACACACCCAGATAAATATTCATAAATTTCTCCAAAGCCTCTAGGTGGGAATGTGCAGTTGCTGTTAGACTACTCACTAATCCCGTTTGTCACCATAGGTTTTTAATGTCACTCTTCCCACCCACCCTTTTATCCTGCTCACTGGCCCCTACTCCAGTAGTATATTCTCAAGTGTTTTGTCCACTCTAGTTTTAAATAGATTAAATATGGTACTTTCTCACCGACTTGTCAGAATCTGTCAGTGAGTCTCCAAGGCAATTGACACAGGCAATTTTGAAGGTGCATTGTGGACCTTAGCCTACTTGTCATTTGGCTCTAAATACAATGCTTTCCTCTGGCTGTCATGAGCCTGGCACAATGGCATTTTGAAGCCTTAACTCTCCCTCTCCCTCCAAATGCAATCGTACAAATTGCCTGCAACAAATGACCTTTGCAGTTGGGTCCGGTGCTGAGCCAAAGAAATGAAAATATATATTTGGCAGGCAGGTGTACAGAAGATCGATTTGCAGCGTGGGGCAAAAGTTTCAATTCCGAAGCCTGGGCACTTTGGATATTATGTGATAAAAGGCTTTGGGTGCTAATAACCCACCCACCACTTTTGTTTTTTGTTAATAGCATTGGATATGGACCAACTTTAGTTAAGCACTTTTTTAGTTTCATTACAGCTTTCCCATTGGAATTTTAAATTCTAGCTAGACCATGACCACTGGATCTTAAGAATTGGCATAACAGTAAGTACAGCTACTGTTGGAACTCTCTCTATCAGTGCATTGGTTCACACACTTTGAGTGGTGAGGTAGCAGCCCACCATGTACCTAAAGTAACGTGGTTTTTTGTGGTTTTTCCAACTGCAGAAAAGGCCCACCCTCATGTTGCTACCCTCCAGACTTCTTGCAGAGGAGGCACATGAAGAAGAGCTATCAGACCCTCCGCACGACCGAGCTGTAATGGCTACTCCTCCGACGTATCTTCAGAACCCATCCAGGCTCTCCTCCGATGGTGATGAACGACCTAAGCCTTTGAATGAGGCTTCAGGCATGCTCTCCAGAAGGAGCCAGAAATATGTGCTACATTGCTACTTTATTTCTAACTACATAAGACAGAAAAGAATATGCATCTGCTCTCTGTGAGAGACAGAAAAACAACAGAACAAAGAAATAGGAAACCAGTAACATCTACATCCATCTCCTGTCTCCCGTGAGACTTCCCACAGTCTGGAATGTCAACAGAGTCTTGTGACTCTAAGAACTGTACAGTGGCATAACAGAAACCTAACAAGAGCCTCAGATGGTGATTGCAGGGTCTGGGTCATTTCATACGGGGAGAAGAGGTCCTCTCTGTTTCATCTTCTGAATGACTGGTCCAAGGTCACACATTGAAATTTACTTCATTTCTTATCAGATCTAAACATAGGAACCTGAAATGTTCTGTGGATGTTAACATAGAACAGTTTTATGCACTGGTTAAAACTAAGAGAAGGAATTCAACATTGCACTATGTTAATCATTCCATCACGACAAGCTGAAACATCCCCCCCCCTTTTCCTTCTCCCACATGGTGTTCTGAAGGTTCTCCTGACGCCCTCCCCCAAGCCAGTTGTAGGTGACATGCAAGGGGAGGAGGGGTAGGAAGCCCCATTGTGCAACCAGAAGACCATGCACAGGCCTGTAAGTTGAATACAGTGGTACTTCTGGTTACGAACGCTTCTGGTTACGAATGCTTCAGGTTATGAGCTCCACTAACCCGGAAGTAGCTGCTCCTGGTTGTGAACTTTGCCCCAAGATGCAAACAGAAATCATGCAGTGGAGGCGTGCGCACAGCGGGAGGTCCCATTAGCTAAAGTGATACCTCAGGTTCAGAACGGTTTCAGCTTAAGAATGGACCTTCGGAATGAATTAAGTTTGTAACCAGAGGTACCACTGTACCTGATTATAACTGAGATTTTGCCACTTGGACAAAAGGGTGTGTGTGAAAGTTTAATATAGAAACCAACAGCAAACAGGGGTTTTTCAAATGCCCGTAAACCTGTCTCCTTATTTTTCTGCATTTCTACCATTGCAAAACATAGGAAAAATTGGGGGGCGGGGCGGGGAAGGGCGGGGCGGGGAGAAGACTCAGTGGCCTTGGTACCATATTGCAGGAAATATATGTTTGACAGACAGTGAAGTTCTTTGTATTCTGAAGCAACTGAAGTAATCTTTCAACATTGCGTTAGAAGTGTTGATTATTTAATAATCCATTCAAAATCCGTAGAAACATTATCATTTGACATATTCTAATTTAAGTCACTTTCAACCCTTTGATAGTCAGAAAATAATAATGATGCCACAGTTTAAATTCTAGATGAGAAAAAAGATGAAAGCT